AACTGTCAGGAAATTGATCCTTAGTTCTAAGTTGCTTCTCTCTTTAATTAGTTTCCACCCATTGCTTCTTGTTCTACCCTCAGGTGCTTTGGAGAATAGTTTGACTCCCTCTTATTTGTGACAACCCCTGAGATATTGGAACACTGCCATCATGTCTCTCCTAGTCCTTCTTAATAATACGTTTACACTCCATTCCTAAGGCTGGAGAAACCAATTCAAAATTCAAGTTTTATTTTAAATTACTTTGAACATACACACACATATTCATAAAATGAGAAGTTGTATAAAATATTTTCTGAATAACAGACATGGGATGGTGATAAAAATGAAAGCCATTCAGGAAATAAAGCATTAATCTGAGAGAGTAATTATTAGGAAACCAATGGCTCCTTGTAGAGGCTGGAACAGTCAGAGGAATGGATACACCCACACTTTTCATCATGGCAAAACCGTGTTTGTAGTCACACCTATAACAGGTCTCCTGACTTCACCTCAAATAGAAGAGTCCTGTCTGTAGTTAAGGGGGTATAAATGGTGAAACAAGTATTATGACATTGTTGCACAAACTCATACCTTTTACACACCTGCTGTGATATTGTACACACTTATAAGGGCTGAGCTTGCCTTGTGATGGTGACACACATATTTAGCTATTTTGACAAAGCATTATTAGACTCTTTGTTTAATTTTGTGATTCAGTATGGAAGTCTTGAGGTATACCACTATAACGAATAATTTTTTCATTAGAAAACTCTCATTGGTATCTAGCCAGAAGAAACCTCCTTGGATGAAATGAACCCTGCTCCTTAAATGCCCCAATGCAAAAGACACCCCCAGTTTAAAGACACCGAGGAAGGTAAATCATGTGGTTAAAGCCATTTTCTCAGTAACTTTTTTTTAGTAAAAAGGAAGTTGTCCTGTGGTAATTTTGCTTTATTGCTGTTCTTGAGACACAGAGGACTTTCATGAATTATATCATTTCCAAAAACGATTAGTAGTTAGTGCGTGCGCGTGCAACACTGTAGCCTGTTACAAAATCTGCCGCCCACCAAAAGACTCCGTGCAGCAAAATTAGGAAGTACTGCCTTGTGCAGCAAACAATTAACTCTGCCTCAGTTGACAGCTGAATTCTTCCCTCCTTGTGCAAACAATGTAGAATTATTTCATCTCTCGCTTTCAATGGCAAACTTATTCTCATTGGCTTGACATTCCGCAGTATTCCTCATCCGCTTTCAGTCGGAGTGTAACCCACACCAGCTCTCCCTTCGTCCCGCCCTTTCGCTTGCGCTCGCTCGGAACTGTTTGTTGCGCTGAAGTCAAACTGATCTGCCACTCAAGCTCTTCTCCCCCACACCCCTCTCTTAACCAAAGAGGAGACACAGACCGCGGCTGTGTTTGTGTGTCACTCTTCAATTCGATTAGCTACATTCCCTGTCCATCAAACAAGAAGCGCTCTCGATTGGTGAAAATCCGCAGGCAGGTCCCGCCCTTCTTCGCCCTGTGGTGGCCTCCAGCCAGCTCTGGCGATTTACTTTGAGCAGTAGGGTCCACGGAATTCAGCTGGGCGCGCGCCCGTCCTTTCTTTGCTCTGTGCTGCGAACTAGGTGGGGGGACAGAGGCAGGGGGGAAGGGACCTCGGCTGCTGCGGCCCAGATTTGTGTAACTGGTTCTTCTGGAAAGCGACCAGTTGCTCCCTTCCGTGTCTCATTACCCTGCCTGGGGTATTTACCGCGGAGCATTAGACCGTTTACCCCGGTGCGTCGCGCTTCCACTGTCCTCCTGGAAGGCCTGGGAATATGAGCTGTCCCTTGGAGTGCGGGACGCGCCGCCCCTCTTCCTCCTCTTCGAGGCAGGTAAAAGCAGCAGACCGGCAGGGCGAATCGCAGTGCCCACTGTCGAGGCGGAGGGGAGAAAAAAAAGGGGGAGGGGAGGGGGTCTTTCCCAAGGTGTGGAGCCAAAGGGAAAAGGAAGCGGGGCTGGATGGACTCTGAGCCAAGCAGTAGCGAATGCCTATATGTGTGAGGGCGCGCGCGCGTGCCTCCCTAAGTTTTGCATGCCGACGTTAACAGAAGCGTGAAGATCCGGGTGACTTCCTGGAGGTCAATACACGAAGAATAGGACTTAGATTTACCCATAGTTTCTAGAGATACTAATGTCAGTGCTCTGATGGGAGCATGGATAGAGGTAGTACACTATACTTTAGCAGAACTTTGTGTAAGTTGTCAGCGGGCCTCTAGTTATGCCCTAAAAAGCGATACCAGGCAACTGCCTAGTCAAAGATGGAGTTTCTGACCTGGATGGAGGCTGTTGTGGATAGGCAAAAGAATAACTTCCTTATCTTTACCTCTCTCTCTCTTTTTAACCTGTATCTGTTGCACACAGTAATGTTTTGCTTGGCTACTTTCTCATTTAGGAACCATTAAATCTTACCGTGTATTATTAAATAGATCTTCTTTCAGTAGGTGTTTTGAAATTATAGAGTGGATACTATTAAGTGTCGCTGAGTCTTTTAAAGATTTGTGGCTTTGGCTTAGGGTTTTTATTCAATATGTGAATGGAAATGTTAATTGGAAGGAGTTTTATTTTGCTTCCTTTAGGTTGCACAGGGATTTATTTGTGCATCTATTTTGAGATTCTTTAAATTACTGCAGTCTGCTACTTCTATAATATTCTTAGAATATGGCAGGGTAATGTGCTTTTTGTGGATATAATTGGTGGAATTATCTCTTATATATTAAAAATCTGCCCTTCATAGGAATACAAGCATGATTTCAGGAGAGAAGCAGCTTTCATGCCTGTTGGATGGTTTTCAGTATTGTTAGACAACAGGTGCCATTATTTTTAGGGAAGGCTATATAGACTGATAAATGTGAATTTGTGATAATCTGATTTTGGACATGTCTGATTTACTTTTTATAAATAACCTCATAAACTATTGCTGTCTTTAAATTGATAAAATAAGATCAAATATTTGGACTAGTTTCATATTTGAAACTTAACTGATCAGTAGTCTAAAATATTTTCCAAACCTGATGCTCTTTTCAATTCTTGGCCAAAAAGCTTTTTTTCAGCTTCATCATGGTACAGAGTTCTAATCCCCATTTAGCACTAAAACTGTATTTTCCCCATGTTGAAAAGAGTCTATGGTGTTGACAGGTGTTAAAAAAGATACAACATATTTTAATAGACTCTGCTAAGTATAAAAATGTTCCCAATTTAGAAAAGAAAATGACATGAATATTTCTGGAAAAGTATGTGCATTGCTAAGGCTTTTAGTATATTACATTTTATAAATTACAGTAAAGGTATTAAAATGGTGCTGACATCAGAAAAGGAATGTGTTATGCATTAATGATGCCATAGACTTTGTACACTTATCATGAAAAGTACAGTATGCGTTTTACAAATTAGCTAGTAGTCATCAAGGCATTAGTCTAAAAATGGGGAGATGGTGAGGTCTAGTTTTTCTTTACGCACAAAGGCAAAACCTTGGGGTAGTCACTCTTTCTGTGTTCTAGGAAGCCAGCAATGGCCACTTCCCAAAAATCACTTCCAAAGAAAAAACTTGCCAAGAAAAACTGCAGGGACTAATTCAGATAGTTGCCAGGAGCCAAAACAGGCTCAAACACACCTCCCCCAAATAAAATAAAAACAGACCTTTTGGAAAACTTTTATGTTTTTATTAAACATTAAAATGATAAATATAAAAAAAATAAAAAATGAGTAAAGTCATGCTTTTATAATTTTCTAGAATATTATAATTAGTTGTAAAAAATTGAAAGTATTATATCATTCTACCAAACTAAAATATAGTTTTCTTTTACAACATTTTGCTGTGTAAACCTTATTTTCTTATAAGAGAAGTCCTACATTTTTATGAAGATCAAGCTAGTAGTGAGAGATTAAGATAGGTATCAGAGAAGATCAAATTGGTTTAATTTATCACTTAACTGTAGTCAAGAATTCCATGAAGTATAGAAAATAACATATTTGTTATGAAGTGGTACAGCATCATACAGTATCAGGTTCGCATGTGCTGAATCTTCTACAAAGTATTCTAGACGCTACCTACCTTCTCTTCTTCTATTTAGACCATACAGTCTATCCCTTTTTTTCAAGTCTGATGTCAAAACTGATGCTAGCCAGGAGGTTCATAGTGGTTGAGATGTTATGTTAGGTTAATTTCCTAGACTATGCAAGAAATTTGGGGTGAGTCTGGGATTCATCTGTAATTAGGAAATTCCCATCTGACTCAATTGGAGATTTCTCTACCAATGTATTTTGTTGCAAAAAAAGAGGAGACCTTGAGAAATACACCAATTATTTACATTTGACCCCTGGGTAGAGTTCTTTAAAACAGCTAAGTTGGAAGTTGCTGAAAGAGTCATTTCTTCAGTTCTTAGCTTTGAATCCTAGTTCTCCTGGCCTTGCCTTACTTGTAACTTGAACTTTCAGTCATCTAAACTGGACTACAGACTTTGTTTCCAAATTATTTCATCATGCTTTGATCTGGCTACCTCTGTAACTATTTCTTGGGTTAATTAATTCCAATCTGATACCCTTTATGCTTTTGATGATTTGGTAATCTCATTTAATTGAACACATCTAGATGTACTGTCATCTTATAAATATGGAATCATATTTGAACAAGCTGATCAAACAACAGTATAATTGTTTTGCTTATTATATTTTGGTATCCTATCCTTTCAGAGAGTTTAGAAAGTGATAGTTCTTTTTTCCAATAATGTGATAAATGAGGGCCCATAACATATTCAGCACATTGCTATCAGAATGGGGAAATAACTTTATATCTAATGATTCACACCCAATTTCTTATCTAATATAGTGACAACTATGTTAATGGAAAACAATTTTAAATCAATATGAGTACAGAATACTGATAATTTTGAACACTATGAACAAGATATTACTGTAAATTCAACTCTTTAATTCAGATGTACAGGTAGTCCTTGACTTACAACCACAATTGAGCTCAAAATCTATGTTGCTAAGTGAGAAACTTGTTAAGTGAGTTTTGCCCCATTTTACTTTTCTTGCCACTTTTGTTAAGTGAATCACTTGCAAGATGTTAAATTAGTAACATGGTTGTTAAGTGGATCTGGTTTCTCCATTGACTTTGCTTGTCAGAAGGTTGCAAAATATGATCACATGACTCTGGGACACTGCAACCCTCATAAATGTGAGACAGTTGTCAAGCATCCAAATGTAATCACGTGACGAACGGTCATAAATGCGAAAAATGGTCATAAGTCATTTTTTTCAGTCTGTTGTAACATTGAACGGTCACTAAGCAAACTGTTGTAAGTTGAGGACTATCTGTATTGAGGCTGAAGCTCCCAGCCAGCATAAGCAACTCTGAGATTGTTCCAGCATCTCTGGAATATCCTCATTAGTGATGGTATATGCAGTGTATGATTCAAGTGCCATTTCTATTCTAGTAGTATAAGACAAAGAACGAATTTTGGTTTTTTAAACAAACAAACCTCTAAGAAGAAAGGACTACCTTGTTAGTGCAAAGCCATAAAGAAATACTGGCAACTACATTCGTCTGACATGGTTCTAGATTATAGTTAAAACCTGCATATTTCTGGCGGTCCTGCAAGAATGAATGAATTACTATATATGTGTGTGTGTATGTGTGCACTAGTAAATGGTTCTTATTTAAAATATTTTGGCTGGGGGAAAGCACATATCTGAACTCCATCTAAAGGGGGAATACCTGGGCAAGTTACTTTGTTCTGGCTTTTCTTTGGTAACAGATGAAATATTTGATTCGTGAAACTGTTTATAATGAATTTGTACTAAGCTACTGTGCAGTATAGATAGTTGATAGCCAATTGACAGGACAATTCAGATGGAAAAATAGGCTGATCTAATCAATCACTATTTTTAATTGTTGAATTAACTCTTTGGAGTGCTAGTGCTTGACAGCCTTTACATCTACAAATGTTTAGCAAAAGTTTTAACATATTGTAAAAATGCTAGTTGTGGATGAAATTATTCCATATCTCCACTACCCGCAACAATTTACTAAATCATTTACACAGTCAATGTGTATTGATATCTAAATGGAAAAAAATAATTTGTGGAACCTCCTCCTCTGGTCTCCTGGACTCCCTTATTATTTGATTAAAAGTCTTGAATAATCAAATTTTCTTTTTTCTTTTTCATCTTAATTTGTCCCATGTAAATTACACACATTTTTTTTTAATAAGAGAAGCTTAGAAAAAGAAAATAATACATTGATGTATTTTTCATTTTTAGTATTTATCCAGAGGAAAGAAACAGACATCGACCACTTAAGATGTGAAAGGTGCTCTTCTAAAGGATTGTTTTTACAAAATGGATCGGAGTAAGCGAAATTCAATAGCAGGATTCCCACCACGTTTAGAGCGCATTGAAGATTTTGATGGAGGTGGCGGAAGTGATGGGACCATGTCCCAGATGGGCAGAGTTTGGACTTCTTCATATAAAGCCTTGATAAGTGCCTTTTCAAGACTTACAAGACTTGATGACTTCTCCTGTGAGAAAATAGGATCTGGTTTCTTCTCTGAGGTATTCAAGGTGAGTAATAACTTCTCCATATCTTCTCTTTAATTGGAGGAAAACATAATGAATGTTCTGTATAATATATAGCGTTACTGTATTTGACTGCAGAAATACATATGACCATTAATGGTGGCAAATCTTTTGCTGCTGTGAGTTTTTTTGTTTTTGCATCCTCATTGAAAAGTTTTAAATATGAAAAATTAATTGTGTGTCAAAGATTCTAAATGAAATGGTTTAAAAACTTTGTTGAATAATTTATCCACATTATTTTTAGAAACATATATGGTACATTTTATTTACCTGTTTAACCTTCCTTTTTCCAAATAGAACCAATGATTTGAATAAAAAAATAAAGTAGCAAACATATAAATATACAGACCAAAAATGATATGTTAAAATGTAAATGGAGAATACAGTATGTTTGTATTTTAAAAAGCCATAAAGGAGTTTTTAAAATGCATTTTGAAGGCATCTAATATAGGATTCAGGTAGGCTTCCTTCAAGACAGAATTCCACCCCTCAAAAATATCAAAATGATTGCTCATCAGCTCCTCCCAAATGTAAGGTTTGCTATGGATTGTGACTGCTAATGAGGTTCAGACTTATAGTTACCGCTGCTTCACTATAGAAAACAAAGTAATAGACAGTGGTATCCAATACCTGCAGTTATTTTCTTAATTCATGCTCCATAATTTACCAGAAAACTAGAAAAAGTGGAGATACACAATCAATATTCTGATTTTAAATGTGTATATTCAACTTTATTGCTACATTAGTTTTCACAAACATTCTGTGTGGTCAAAATTCAAAGTGTAAAGCCAGGTTAAATAAGTTGCCTTTGATTTTTGACTTTTAAGTTTATTTTTTAATAAGGTAACCATTGCAGGACCATTCATTGACACAGACAATTAAACTCTGTTTATCTAAGGATAATTTAAAATAAAGCCACATTTACTATTCATTTTCTAGATGGTGGGTGGGTGTTTATACAACATGCCTATCCAGGTTTTTAATTAAGTAAGAGTAAGAGACCTACTCAGGAGATCTCGGTCCTTTTGATATTCTAGGCACTGTAGTAGATAAACTTTTCAGGCTTGCTTTAAAAAAAATCCATCCCCATCCCCAGGCTAGATTTACACATGGTGAGACCCTAAGCTATGAGAAGCTATATTTGGCAAGTACTAACAGATACTAAGGCTGTGTAGAATTCAACTTACATTACGCAACTTCTGCTAGCAAGATGCGTAACAAATTTGTGGTGGCATGGAGAAGGCCCAGTACAGAAGGTATGAATGCAAAAATAAATTGATCAGGATCATGTTATGGCTTAATTTAGGAGACTTTCAGATATGAAATTAGAATAAAACTGTAAAACATGGGGGAAAAAACCTTGAAATTTTGAGAGATCTCTTCAGACTCCAAGGTCCTAAGATATAGCTTGTTTATTTTAAATCTCTCCCTGTGCATCCTAAATGGTATGGATGTCAGGTTCTGAATGGTGGAATATTAACTGTTCTTCAGTTAAACTAAAAGCAATGGAGACAATTGCAGGAAGAATTAAAATTATAGATATTCCTGCTCACTGATTCTGTGTTTGAGAACTTGGAAAGAGGAGTTGGTCATTCCTTAACTCTTCTGTCTGGGTCTGAATAACACGTGAGACAGTGTTCAGATGAATTAAACATACTATAAGAATGATTGCCACTTATAACGAAGACTCCCTGTTATAAACCCAGTAACGTTTCAGGAGTCACTTTGGGTGACATGCTGTGGCTTGAGTTATCATGTGAACAAGCCCATTGAATAAGATGTGATGAGAAATACATGAATATTCTCCAATAATTGGCTGATGTTGTACTCTTCCCTTTTAGCTGTCTATTTTAGATACTTAAGAACATGTAGTGTTTATTTTCTAAGGGTCACATCCCAGATAGGAAGGTTTTGTAGTCTGGAAAATTAGTTTCTTTGTGGCTAATTCACAGAAATAATCTCTGTGTGGTCAAACTTACAAGGAGAGATCTGTTAGAAGCAAAAAAAAGTACAGTTGATAGATATCCTGCTGTCAAAATGCATTGCAACTCATTAAAACTTGCTATATTAGGACAGTAGAGAAAGAAATACCTGGAGTTTATGCTTTAAATATTTAGAATGGCTAGATTTAAGACTAAATGATTTTTATTATAACTTGATCTATATTTAATTCTAATGTTAGTTAAGTTGGGCCTTTAATTATTCTATGCTAAGATTGTCATATTAATGTATTGAATAATACATTATTCAATAATAATAGTTCAATCTTCCTTTATTAAAAGCATTTTAATATATTTTATCATAGTTATGTGACCTTGCTGTAGTCTGTCCTGCTGCTATATATAATGAAGGAAAAATAATTTCGAAGCAACCTAGCTGTAAAAATGAGACCGTAGTATTTCATCTGTTTGTATTCTGATATTTAGTGTAAACCACAGCCTAATCTTCTGTGAAAAGGGAAGAGGAAGAATACAGTAGAAAACGACTGTGGCGAATAAAGATATGAGAAAGGAAACAAATAAATAGGAAAGATAAAGTAGCAGCTGCAGAATAATCATATGACATGGAAAACCTAAGATAAGCAATACATTTCCCAAATCCAAAGAATTTCATTGTATGCATTAGTGTTTTTTAATCTGGCTCTTTTAAGGCTGATCTTTAAAATGTGAGATAAAAGTAAATAAAAGCCTTTAGTTTACATACTGTACATACATACACACGCACACGCACACTATATACAGTCTCTCTCTCTCTCTCTCTTTTTCTCTACACACACATACACACACACACGTTTGTATATATGTATGTATTTAACTGAGGGAATATTATGTTGACTTAAATGACTATGAAAACTATTGTCTTATTTTAAGTTTGCCAAGAGAACTCCCTCCCCAATCCAACCACTATTATAAGAACTTATGAATTTAAACCTCATGCAATAATAATTCAAATTTGATAAGTGTTTAATTGTAAACCTCCTGTTTAAATGTCAGTTTTTTCACATTCAGTTGATTCTAGTAATCAGTTCTAGGAAACAAATACCTTGCATTTCTTACCAAATTTAATTTAATAGCATAGATGCTAATAGGGGATGGTATGAGGAGATTTCATTTTGGCAGTTAGAACATGTGGTTTATTGATGTAAACATTGTGTAGCCACAGTTCCTATGAATTAACTGGAAGTATATACTGTACTTCCTCTTACTATATATATAATATATGTGTGTGTGTGTGTGTGTTATATTTGTGCTGATAAATAAATAAAGGGAGACTAGTATAGATCTATTTCAAGCTATTTAGCTCTCATCAGCTAGCCATACCCTTACTGGTATGTATGTATGTATGTATGTATGTATGTATGTATGTATGTATGTATGTATGTATGT